GAACGAATGAATGAAATAAGGTGTCTTAATGACCGGTAATACGAGTATAATTTTCTCATTTGGTGACAGAGCAGGAAGAATATGGGCAGTACTCACCTGCATTGATGGAAAATGATTATGAAGTTCGCGCAGCGCTGAATTAGTCGCCTTGGACACCATATTCATACCCATGGCTTCACCAGTTCGAGCGGCAAATCGAATATGGAGGTAATGACCACACTGTACAAAAGTTGATATAAAATAAATAGCCATCGAAAAAATATTTAGAGGATCGTTTATATTATAACTTCTAGTCAGTGTACTTTCTATTTACAACCCATTCGTGTTCCTCAAAGCAGTGCGCACCCACTTCAATCAGTCAATGGATAACCTTTGCTATCTCCACTTACACACCATGCATCGTGAGTTCCAGATCGGTAGGAAGGATCAACTTTTTCAACAGCAAAAGGTCTCTCGATTTTCATAAGAAACTCCTTTTGAAGAAAGATAGGGAAGTTGCTATCCGACGATAGGCTAGTGACCCTATATTGGAAGAAAGGCGGAGGTCATCGATCAGCCAAATTGCAGAAAACAAAGCCCTACTGCACACATGTTTGCAATATTCAAGAATAGAGCTTTGTACAAAAAAATGTGAGCTGGGAGGCGAAGAGGCGTGTGACGCAGGCGCAGCTTTGCTGTCGCCCTGTTCAATACCACGCCTGGCCTATCAGAGCCTTATGTTGTTCACCACTCCAAGTCTCGGGGCTTAGGCTGCCGGTTACCATCAATGAACAGCAGGTATTCGTGACTATTGGGTTCCACCCCGTCTGCTGTCTATCGCACACCGGTGTGTAATAAAAATTGGAATACCAACATTGGTCACGGCACTACGAGATATATAAGGGGGCTAGCATAAAGAAGTTATATGCAGTCCAAGAAGGGGAACAAAATTTGTGGGCTGCGGTTAAGTGGAATCAAAAGGTAAACAGACGGGGAGAAGTAGAGTGAATTGTGTTTCAGTGCGATTTAAAGAAGGGCGGTTTTGGAAACATTAAATAAAACATGATTGCAGTTGCCCAGGAGGAAATACGTTCGAGATCAGAGTTCAGTTGCATATGAACTGCACTAAAGTCACAATCAGTATTGGTTTTGGCGTGGCGAATAGTGGGGTTGGAGAGGGAACAGTGGAGGGTGGCGTCATTGACACCAGAATGGATTGGGTTAACAGTTTTGGAAAGTAAACCATTAAGGATTAGAAGAAAGAGGGTGAATATAAGAACTAAACCTTGAGGAACACCAGCGTTTACAAAGCATGACTGAGATATACCACCATGAACTCATACGGAGATGGTTCGCTTACAGAGGAGTATTGCTGTCCAGGATACGAGAGCCGAAAAAATAGTCGAACGCCGGAAATTTCGCTAGCAAACCTTTGTGCCAAACTCGATCGAAGGTTTTTAGGGTAGAAAGCGAGACGAAGTATGTTTATCCGTGGTAATCTAGCGCGACCGACCACGATTGTGAGACAAGAGTCAATAAAAAACCGACAGAACGACGCTGGGTTGGTCCAGGATGTTGCCTCACCCTAACTGGGGAACTAACAGAGCAGGTGGATAAGTTTTGTTATTTGGGGAGCTACATCCCACCCGGTGGATGCATCACGGATGAAGTGTCAGCTTGCATACAGAAGGCTCTGTTGGCATTTGCCAACTTCAGACGTCTGGCGCCGTCGCGAAGTCCTGCTGTCTGTGAAGGGTCAAGTGTATGCCGCGGCAGTTCTGCCAGTTTGGCCATAGGAGCAGAAACTTGACCATTACGAAAACAAGATAACGATAGACTGTGGGTGTTCAAACACTGTCTACGCAACATTGCACAAATCTGGGGAGAGCAACGCTTAGGTTAGACGCAGGAGTTCAGGTAACCGTGGTCGCCCACTGAAGCAAGTGGTCAATATGCATAGACTGCGTTGGTCGGGGCATGTGTTAAGCATGTCAGCAAATAGGTTGCCACGGTGCGCGATGTTTGCCGAGGCAGGTTTTGAATGGAAAAGATAAAGAGTGGTCAAACTCAGTTCTGGCATGAGGATATGAAAACCGTGACCAGGAGACTTCGTCATATAGGTCCCGTTAGGCTCCCCGGATGTGGACCTCGAAATCATCGTAACCGTTGGTTGGAGACACTGGGTGATATGTCTGTGTCGTAAGCAGTGGCGCTTGTGCGTCCTCTGATTCTTTTCATCTTTAGTCTGCCCAAAGTCTCCATTTTTAATTCGACACTCATGTTTCCTGTCTTCTTACGACGGTTTCGTCCAAGTAGACGGCAACGGAAATCGGCGCTGAAAAATACATAGCTAGTGATTGTACAAATGAACTAAATGTAATAGAACAACGCTGCGAAAACTATTCTAACCGTCGCTCAGGAGTCATACACGTTTGACGAGCACAAGTTGGTCGGAGATAGTGCTTTCATTTACATTCGAAGGGAGAGGTTTGATGGAAGGTGTCGATAACTATTAAGGTCAGAAGGCAAGAATGGAAACTCACGGGTGGTTGGGGTTGAAAATGTAGAACGTTCAAGAGTAAGGCAAAAATAGACGTTTAACAGATGTTAATCCGGGGGGATCCGTGGAATACCGCCAGTACCGTATTGTTATCTGCGCTCTTAGAAACCTCTATGCTCGGCGGATTTTCCAAGTGCTATAATACCAAGTAATAAACAGTTGGCAGTGAAATAGAAAAAAGGTGGAGGAGTAGGACAAATAATTAAGTTGGAGTTGGAAGCAAAGGTCTCAGTTTTCTCATGTGGCTAGTAAAAGATCGCTAGATCAATCACATATAAGAGGAAGTTGGAAAGACAGAAACTGTTTTGCGAAGGATCAAAGTGTTTGACTACCGGTGGCGGAACAACAACAGTTTTTCAGGTTGGTAGCAGACGAAGCGTTTATTGGTTCTCTGTATAATTATCCAGCCCCTGTTCCTAGCTCGCCCAAGGCGATGGTGGGTGTTGGTTTTGAGCTAGCGGCGCCCGCAGCGGAAGACCTATTTAAGCATGCAGCACGATCGCATCCGAAGTTAAACTACTCGCAGGATTTGGACTTACCGGGTTTGAAAGAGTAAGGAATAAAAAGACACGTTGAAGAACTATTTAGGTGAAGCTGGAAACAGATTTGGAAACGTCAGAAGTGAAACAACAGTTGTACAAAGGACGATATACTAGGAACTTGAGAAAAATGTCCAAGTTGACTGTGTGTGTATCTCAAGATGAGTGGCGGATCTTGGCTAGGAAAATTGATGGAGCGAGAAACGTTGCAGTGGTCCGATGATTCAGTTTGAGATGAAATGGATATGTCTAAAAAGAGAGAAAGAGCTGAAGCGAGAATGAGATCGAAGGTATGAACACAGTCGATCAGCGGTACGTGTGTCGAAGTCAACTAACCGGTTATGTTGACCGGAACGAAAGTTTCGACTTCGAACCAAAAAGACGAAGTAACAGAAGATTGTGTCAATCATTCCTCCTCCTCATCGTATAGCGAAATGCAGTGAAATGAGCTTCATTGATCCCTGGCAAACGCGCAAAGCATACAAGGTTAGTGGTAATATTTAAGGTAGACGGGGATTGGACCTGTTTCGTAGGAGGGGGAGTAAGGTGAACCTGTATGATCAACACAGAGTACACAGTGGAATTATGCATATATTCCGTCTCAAGCATTCTGGCCTAATAATAAATGATAACAGGAACACCACTGCTGTCGGTTCGTTGCCATTTCCTTCAATGTCCCCAACCAACCAGTTGCGGAGTCTTTCTAATCCCAACCTGAAAGATGTGAGATGCCTACTCTACTTAGTGGCTATGTGAATTTCTTCATGCCTCATCTCCATGTCATCTGTTGACATCCACGTGGTTTCCTGATTTTGAACAGTATAATCTCCTGGTTTGGGGTCCATCGCAAACAAGTTATTAATGATCGAAGATAAAAATCCAAAGATGGCGGAGTCGCCACTATTGGAGGAACTATGTAGGACCAAAGCGTAATGATTCAAAGAAGAATGTAAGGGCATCAGCCACATCTGCCGAAATTCTCGATGAGAAAAGTCGATATATATATATATATATATTGTGGAGACGGCAACTGATTGATAGATAAAGGCGCAGACAGCCGTGAGTAGAAAATAGGAAGGATAAATGTAGGTGGGCAGTGTCTAACGAGGGTGAGATTTGTGTTTCGATCATAAAGGTCGAGAGGAGAATAATGAAGACATTGGTGTTCAGAATCAATGTTGCGGTTCAGTCCATTAATGTCGCTGAGATTGATGAGTTCGTGTTTGCTTTGCGAGTGAATATCGTTAGAGGGGGCACGAATGACTTTGTTATGTCATATTCATGTTGTGAAAAGGAAACCGGTAACCGTGATCGTGAAGCTCGGAGTGGGGGACCACATAACTGATTAATAGGTCAGGTATGGTAAGCACCCTCCGCATTTTGGTTTCGTAAATGACTACAAGGACGCCACCGTTATCGATTTGTTGTGGGTCCTCCAGTATCTCAAGATCGCAGGAGATTCCTATTTTACCTGATCCGCCCGCGCATTTTTTCTTTCATTGTATCAATTTCATGGATTAGCCTTCACCTGGTCTCCTCCAATCTGAAAGGGCTACTGCTACAGGGTCTTTTACTTTAGGTAACTGTTGGGCATGCACAGCAAAGCACACATCCGAATTCGTTATGGCAAAGAATTGTCCTGCGAACTATACCCAAATCCACAACTGATAACATTAATTTTCCTAACCAGTTAGCTCCATCCCACTTGTACCAAACAACGTAAATGTCGGCAGTCGAAAACCAGTTGACCGATATATTCTCCACGCAAACTTCAGCTTTCACAACCATAAAGTAGAAGTGATTTCACAAGGTGTTTCAGTTTCAACGAGTCTCTGACATGCAAGGCAGTTCACTTCTACCTACACTGGATTAGCCTACGACACATGTCATCGTTCGCCCCAATGTCATTGCTGTTCGTTTCTGCCTGTCCAGCTGTAGTACAGGGGTGGAAAACTCCGTCTCTCAGCATCACTTACCTTTGAAGGCACAAAGCGCATAGGGAAGGCAACATAAGCACTTGTTAGCCTGTAAAGCGTAGATTTTCTGTAATTTCGAATAGGCAGACGTCGTCGGCGAATACCAAATCAAACAGATTTTCTCCAGCTGCCCTACCGATAACAATCTTGTAGATACCATTTAATGCGTTTTCCCGTATTTTCTTTACGATAACATTTAACATCGCTGCTTGTTTAAGGTAATCTGCTTAGCTCCCTTCGATCGAAATTATGTGAGTATATGGGCTTAAACAGGTCAACATAATTCTGGGGCATTGTTTTGTGATGAACGGAACCGATCATACCCTTTGAGTCGATAAACATCAATTGTGGGGCGACGGTACGTAACTCAATGAGATGACTCAGTTTGTTTATGCGATCATCTTCTTGAGAATGAATCTGCTCTACGAGCATCCGACGACTGCCGTCTACGCTCGGCAATTCTCAGCTAAATCATCACAAACAGATTTTCATTCGCTGTTGCGGTGGTGCCGGCAGATTTACATTCTACATGTCGGTCTTGATGGTGTTGATCTACGTCTTTTGGCTGCCTACGCGGTATCTGCATCCTATACAGAACCTTGCGTAAAGCCTGCGTCGTGAAAATTCACTTTTTGCCCACCGAAAAATATTTAGAAAAATAGTGAAGGCAGTGGCCCTGCAGAAGCTGACAGTTTCTCTTTCGCAAATCAGCGCTGTCTGATCATGCTTCTGGTTTTCCCAAAGATAGTGCAGCTTTTGCGACACCTATGGAGCCGCCATGATATCCAAATTTTTCTCCAAAATGTAGGTACAAATGGACTTTTAGTATTTAACCACCCATATCCTCAAAACATTGCTCGTGTCTGATGAGAACATCAAGTAAGCAATGCAGTTTGTCGTTGTGTGTTGGTTACCGGTAGTTGTTTCGTGAAAGAAATACGCACACTGAATCTCCTCTGATTGTTCAGCCACTTTTTATGCATGCCAATCCATCATCTAACTTTCCGTGCTCATTTTGCAGGTATTGGAAAAGACTGGAAGATGCGTTACCGTGTAGGGGTATGGAGAATTTAGCTTCTGCCTTAGCTTCGGTTTGTGCAACCCATCTTCCAAGTTGAGACCAAACGGCTGCTGATTGCCATTGGTAAAAGACGTTAAGGTGTATGTCTCAAAATAGAAAGCAATAGCGCGAACGATGTACGATTTGTCTGTACAAATCACGTGCCCCATAAAAATGTCAATCAAACCGGATAGTAATAATTAAGTGATAAGTTGTATGTATATTGTGATGCATTGTCATGAATACGAATCTCGGAAAAGGAGCTTGTTCTCCACTCTGTTGTTCTGCTTGCTCCACGGGACCATTCAGATAAACAAAATGTATCCGAAACTGAAGTATTTTTTCTGATGTTTGTGCTTCTCTCAACTTGTTTGTTTTGCTTATCGTTTTCTTCTTTGCCACTATCCCATCCTTCTCTATCATTATTGTTGTTGCGTTGGGATTCAAACCGCCTATACTGCTAGGATTCCGAATTCAACTATGATACGCAACAAACAACAATTGCTTGAGAGTCTATTACATGCGTAAAACAAGCTTGTTAACAAACATTCACAGTAATCACCGTGAAGATCCTTAGATTCAGAGTTTGGTACTTCAGCATCCGCAATTCACCCTGAAGTACTTTGCACAGAAGAATTGAAATGCGTTCTTCTAGAAAACAATTCACCACTAACTTCCTGTTGGTTCTCTTACCCAAACAAAATGTCGATTCAGTAGCTGATTTTAAGTTGTTTTACAGTACAGTTTTGAAATAATCAATAAAGTATTATGTTGATTTTTCACCCCTAGCCTTATCGAAACCCATAGATAGACACAGTACTTAGTCCTCCCGAAACTATATTGCTTTCCGAACTTACAATAATTTTGCGCTTTGTTATAGACCCCGGAGATATTCGAACAGGGCCGGTGGTCGCTGGCGTAGCAGCTCGTGTTCCGTCGATGAGTCTGTCTATCCTGAAAGACGTCATGTGGATGTACGGCATCTGGTTCAGCAATTGGAGGAGTTGCATGCTACAACGCCGACACAGGAACGAATAAAGTACATCACTATTACTGGGTTGTTTGTTTTGTACATGCACAACCGGTATATACAATGGCATCCCAAATCTCCCAACTATTGTGAAAGCAGCCATTCGGAATCGGTGCAGTCCGAAGAAGAGATAGTTGTGAACGACACGGTTGGCTCATATCACTGGTCAGAAGCAACATTGTTGGATCACACTAACTTCAATATGCTTTTCTTCCTGTTGATTGGCATCCTGCTGTATTATCGTGCAAAGTTCTATGCATTCCAGCGAACAAAACTCCTAAATTTGGACTTGCTGCCCCCGGTGGAGAATAGATGGCAACCTCCAAGAAGTCCGGATGCTTTCATTAATAATAACAACAATAATTTTTCCAAAACCAATGGATGGTCTCCTGTTGGACCACGTTCTTCTGCATTTACTCGATCGTTGGTCAGTTTCTATCATTCCGATTTCTAACTGCGGCATTGTTTTCCCATGTATTTAATTATCAGATAGAATGTAACGTAATATTTTTAAAATTGTATTTTGAGAAATAATGTTTCCAGGAAATCACTTTACGGTTTTCATTGTTATCTTGAATTGGAATTTTGCTTCCCTCCAAGCAACCTTAAACTGTACATCTACTGTGATTGGACTATGATTTGATTTACTATTATGAATTTTCTCACTCTTTAAGTTATACACGGTTACTTTACTTGAATTAAACTAAGATTACATGGCTGATCTGTAGAAGTTATCCATTTATTCTAACCATTGATTTAGAATTCGGTTTTTACCTGAAAGATTCTGAATTCGATTAGCAGTGGGCTAGATGTATTGGCCATGTTAATGATAATGCTCCAGGAGACCAAAAGTGATACGCAATTGTTCTGGGCTCATTTTAGTGTCCTTTATTACTATAATAAAAAGTTTTGCCCTTATAGACAATTTTTTCCATCACTCCACTCGGTTCATCATAGTCAATCCATTAGCCCTGTATTCAGCCAAAAAATTTACTACATGATTATCTATTCACAACTCATTGAAGCCGGATTAGGCAGTATAGAAGGTGCTCTTACTGGGCTTCTAACCAATGTGTTTGATAGTGTTTCTAATATCCGATATGCCGTATTGCAAGCGATAAAACATGTGGACTAAACAGATCAAACATTCACGACACGATGAGTCGATTTCAGTTTCAAGTAGGAATGACAGCAGGTTTTTTCGAAAATAACACTAATCATGTTTGCGGTCATAGCCAACTGTAGACCACCAGAATAATGTTATTGCTGGTGTTAAAATAGAGGAATGCAGCGAAACAATAAGTGCCGGTTACGATGACACTACTTTGAATCTACGACTATTTGCTTTCTTGGGAAATAGTTTCAAGCCGTGGTACCATTTTTCTTCATTGGCTATGATGAGATGGAATTTTATTTTTTTAAGAAAATACCATTTAGTCCGGAATGTATTCCCATAGTTGTGATATTCCATGTAAATTACGTAATCCACAATATTTTCCTTCTCCTTTTGCACTGTTTAAGGTTTTGCTCAGAACTCCATACATGATAGAGACCACTAGGTGTGACCGCATTAATAGTGGAGTGCATTGTAGTACTTGAAATCATATGGTGTGACTAAGTGATTGACAATCTGGTCAAATCTGCCAAACAACTATTTGAACAATCTGGTATCTGCCATATTTTGCTTACATGCTATTTGATTTCATGCACCTGTACCGGTTAAATGGTTAACATGCGTCGCATTCGCCTCGCCGCCATGTGATCAGTTTATTCTAAGCAGCTTGTTTTTTCCAGTTAAATCTCCTTCTTAGAGGTGTGCTACTCCCAGTCATACCACTACAAACGTAGAGTGTTAAGAGCATAATTTATTCACTCACTTTTGTATTACTCTCGTTTTTCTTTTTTGATTTTAATAAACTACAAAAGCCAAAACTCGGATGTTAGGTCATGGTAGTACACGTTGAAAAATGAGTTGAAATTCAATTCGTTTGTAAAATAATTAATTCCTGACAGTACCGCCAAATAGGCATGATAGATTTTTCGTACTGCACCACGAGCGTTCCCTTCCCAATGCCTAGGTAATGCAGTTGTGATTTTGTTCATGAATTATATCACTCAGATGTGCTTTATAGATATTGGTAATCACTCAACAATCATGCATTTTAGGTTGAACAACCGCCTTCTTCCTCGGCATCCCAAGCGTTTCTCGATCTCATCCCCAACGGCATTGTCACCTCACGTACGACTCCGAAAGTCACTGTTACGATGGCAGTTGGGGAGCCAGGAGCCCATTCAGGAGTTCCCTCACATCGTACTAAGGAGGTATGCCTTATTTCTACCTTGCATAAAAAAATACCTCCCCTCTTCTTATTTTCTACACTGACAACGATTCGGAGCTTTGTTCTCACGTCTACCGAGTGCTTGGCAATCCAACCAAATTAAATACATTTGTCCGCATCAGCTAAGGTGGAATATGACGCGCACATATGGTGCCCTGTTGGTACTGGAATGGTTATAATCAAACTGGTTTGTGTAACGACGACTCAAAGTTCGATTGTTTTGGCAAGTCTTTTGTTTATACAAAGCGATTGACCGCCAGAGGAGTTAAGCCCATAGTCGGACGTTCTCTGGGATGGGTGTCGGGGTTAGTGATGAACATTCAGGCGGAAACGAATTTGAAACAGTCTTTTCCCGATATGAACTTGAATAAAGAACACAGCAGAACAGTGTTGCACAATATATTTCCAGAAAAATTTCGCTGTAACTCTTCAGGTACATATTACAGTCAAAGAATATAATAAAAACTAACAAGTAACATTTACTGTGGATGAGCTGTTGGTGTTATCTGCGTCCATCTTTCTACCAAGGTAGGACTAGAGTTACAAATATTTCCTGCTTACACAGTTCAGGCTTCCATCGTTTAATAGCAATCATCACTGCAAACTGGAGCAACCGAGAGTTTTGCGTGACGAGAACACTTAAATGCTGTGGTCACGTTCACTTGATGCCCGGTCTCTAGCAAGTGACGAGCGATGGATGACGCTGGTGTGCGGCGTTGGGTTGACCTTTGACCTTGATCACTCGGGGGTGTGATTCGTTCACCAGTTTGTTGACCCACATAGGTATGTGTTCGGCTATTCTTTGTCTAAGATGCCGCTCGGTTCTGCCTAGGTAGGTGGCCGAGCACCCATAGACGAATTGGTACAGTTGATGGGATTTGACATACTGCGGAAGCGGTTGCTTGATTGGAGGAGCCGGTATTCTGTCACATGTGTAGACGAAAATTGGTTCGGCTGTGTTGAATGTTCGTTTGATGGATGAGCATAGACGGTGCTCCAATAAATTGCTCCCATCATCACCCTTGAACGGCAGTTGTAGGATAACCTTACACTTCGGTACGGATATCGGTCGCTCTACCTTTGAACGTGCAATGAGGTCGGGTCACCATTGTCCTGGAGGGTGCTATTCAGTTTTAGCGTTTCATCTGCGAGGTTATCAGGCGTACAAATTTATCTCGCGTGGTCATAAAGTGTCCTCACTAGCCCTCGTTTGTAACGGATGGGGACGAAGCTGGTGAAATGCAGATGTTGACCGGTCCACGTGTGTTTTGGATCAACAAATCGACCAAGACTTCCATCGGTCCTTCGTTGCATTTTGACATCCAGGATGGACAAACTATCATTTTGTTCATGTTCCATTGTCGACTTTATATTTAGGGGGGCGTTATTCAAGCTTTGGAATACGTTCAATGCCTCCACCTTTGATTCTGCTATGAGCAACACGTCCACGTATCGTTTGTATAGAAGATTTCTGGCGAGGTTATTACCGATCTTCCTCTCCAGGCTTGCCATAAATATATCTGCCAGGATGGGACCCAAAGGACTCTTCTCTTGTTCATAACCGACTTACCGAATGTCATAGGACCACAAACATTATTGTTTGCAGACGACGTCAATCTGGAAGACAGTGACAGAAAGTGAGGGTTCGCCGGAACTCCAAGGATGCAGCTCTCAAATGGTCTATTGAGAATGAAATCCAATTTAACGTCTCCAAATGCAAGGTGATTTCGCTACGCCACCATGGTCGGTTTCCTTATTTCCTCGGAAATGGTCTACTACTGCATGCATCAACGGAGGAGGACATGGGTGTTATAGTCCACGAAGACCTGAGCTGTTCTGTTAACCGCGCCGGGGCGTCGTCAACAGCACTCATCTGTGTCAGTTTACTTAAACGTGTTTTTGGTCGTTTTGAACCATCTTTATTCCGACGTCTGCTGTCAGCATACATCCGGCAACGTATTGAGTATGCCATCCAAACCTGGAACCCATGGTTACAACGTGATCGTAAGATTTTGGAGCGTCCACAAAGGCTCGCCACGAAGATGGTCACAGGGCTATTATGATTCATACATGGGAAGACTGCAATCATTGGGTCAATACTCTACTCAGTATCGTCGGATTCGAGGAGACTTTATTTTAGTGTGCCAAATATTACACAACCCAAATCATCCTTGTCACCCACTTTTGACCTTGTCATTAAACGTTCATCTACGAGGATGTCCATTCAAGTTACTATTCCAAAAATGTCGACTGGACTGTCGACCTCATTCCTTCACCGTCAGACTGTCTGGAATTACTTACCGTCTCATGTCGTTTGTGCTGCGACGATTGGTTCTTTCAAAGCAAAACTTGACGATTCATTAACACGCATTACACTTCAATTCGTGTAACTACCTTATGGGACAAGAAAAGCATCTTTTTATAAGTAGTGCGCATAATAAAACTTCGAATCTAACTTTGCTAATAAAACAACACATGACGCATCGATTGTTCGATGCACTCCTAACATCATTTGGTCTTGATGTATTAAAAAGATCGTATATGGTTGGAAATATGGAAAGATCAACGTTTTTCCACAGTTTTGTGGCCCGAATGGTAGGGGTCTGATATGTGGGGGGCAGAAAGCTGATATGGGTCGTCTGAAATCGAAATGTACGAGAAAAGGACTAAGTGATAGAAACCGCTGACGAGGGTTTTGAAGAAAACGGAAACTAAAATAATAACAGTTGATGAGAGCTAATTAAGCGACTATCTTCAATGAGAATTGTGACAATGGATATAAGATGTAATTCCAGGAATTAATCATTAAGTGGTATAATGTTTACCCTAAGGACTTTCTGTGCTCTATTTTATTCACGTCTATTCAACTCTGCCAGGTTAGTATTTACGAGGTTTCATCTTGAGCCAAATGATAATAAAGTAAACGCTGCTCATCGGAATATTTCACCACCAGATGCAATGTCAGACGAGGAAACAAACTGTAAGAAAGAAAAATGTAATGAAAGAAATTTTGCAGTATATGCAGCGTTTTGGCACAATACACTTAAGCCTAGTGGTTTAAGTCACTGTTATCCTCGTGTTTTGGACCCAGAGTCCGAAGTTCGAACTTTTAATAGCATGGCTATCATCCGGCTCTGTACTACATCAATGCCAGTATGGCTTTATGTAGTTCGTCGCTCTGACCCAACCGAACGTGAATTCATTGCGATGACAACTGGCGTAGTGCCAACAGATCATGAATGTCTTCGGTGCAGAACGGTGACCATTGCACCCATGTGTAAATGCAGCCGATGTCTTGTTGACGCGGCTAATGCGTCAGACTGGAGAATTCCCTACTCTTGCAGTCAACTCAGCTGTATTCTATATGTTTATATTGCTCTGAATAGTTCATTTCTTTTCGTTAATCGACCAACTAGATCCCGAAGGGCAGCAGCTCGGACTGATGCACCAAAGTGCGATTTCTATGGTTGGGCAAACTGAAGTGAACACATGTTTGTCCTCGTTAAGTAATCGTGATTGATACTCTGTTGAAAACGATTACAAGTACCCGCGGTTACTGCCCGTGTTTGATTCCACTGGTTTCATTATTTTACTTAGCTATTGATCGTAATCTTCGCTAAAAATCATGGCAATGGGTGACCAATTTTTTTGAATCACTTTTTTCACTTCTTTTTATTGCTCCGTTCTCGTCTTTTTCTTCAATATCCAACAGTCTACAACAACAAAGGTGACAGCGTCGGACACAGAACTGCTACAGTTGCTCTCTACTGGTGAGTTGAAAACTCGCGATTTGGAATCTGTTGTCGGTAATCCAGTCCGTGCGGTGGAATTACGTCGCCTTGATCTGGCTCGACTTCTTTCCATCCCCCATGTATTGGAACGTCTGCCTTACAAGGAATACGACTATCGTTTCGTCCATGGCCAGTGTTGTGAAGAGGTAAGCTTCTGACATCTGTGACCTGTCCGAAAATATGATTTGTTTATTTTCAATGAGTCATTTTACGAGGTGCATGCTTTTTTGTCTGCCTAATCCCTGTTTTTATGCTTTTCGCCATTCAGGTACTGTAGTATCAGTGGTCTCCAGCAATGAAATGTGCAAATTGTTTTCAAGTCAAGTCAAGTAAAGCTTTATGCACCCGATAGGATGAATTTTCAGCATTTTCGACATGTTACAGTAGGGAAAACGTTAAGTATTGGAAAAAGAAGAAACATACATCTACTAAATGAAAAACAAACGGAATTAGGTAAAATCCTAATATCAGAGATGATTGTTCAACTCAGCAATAATATTTGCTCGGTTGATCAAGATACGAGCAAAATATGGGATCATACTGTTTTTATGTGTGGTGGTGCATGCATAAAGAATCCGAAATTGTGAACGGGTACTCGGATGAGAGACCGATTTATTGAGATGAGGGTGCAGGCAGTGTTTGTCGTTGGACAGGATATGGCTGATAAATCGATCGCACGAGTCAAAATGCTTGCTCACAATAAAGTCAACCAAAACAGCTTTTGAAATGCTGCTGCAACGAGAAAAAAAAGAGAATAAAGTCTTGCTCCTTCAGACCAGGAAAATCTACGGGGGAACAGTAGAACCAACCGTCGAGTTGGACACTAAGCCGGGTAAGAAAATTTACAAGATTCGTCAAGTCTAATGCTGTAAGGAAAGAGATGTTAAAACGATTAACATCACCAGCAGCAGTGCATGAAGACTGGTCCAAACGGGTTTCAAGTTGTGAATAGAAGGAGTCGACAAACAGACCAATATCAGAGGCAGGCGTGTCGGGAGCGATGTAAATGTTCGCTAGTATAATATGATGAAAATAATAAATCGGAGCTTACAGTAAATAGAAATACAATTTATCTTAAGAGTATTAAATTGAAAACATTTACGAGCGTTTTTGCACCATTTCCTGTTGACGAAAGTGACCACTCCACCACCTCGATGAGGGAAGTTCACATTACGAACGACTCAGAATATGTGAAATCCATCAAGATGCACGTTGTCCTCAATATCAGAATGTAACCAGCTTTCCTGGAGTAGAATTGCCCCTACATTCTTGCATTCCTTCTGGTATATCATGCTCTTGACAGCAACCCAAACCGGCGCTCGAATATGCGTGGTTAATGGTTGTTCAAACTGAACTGAAACTGAGATAATAGATGAAACGGTCAAATTATCAACAGAACG